CACAGCAGTGTTATTTCAGAATAACTGACATTATTGTGAAATAACATAGTCCGCCTCTACAAGCAGTTATTTCAACATAATGTCAAAATAAGGTCAAACTGGAGGAATTCCTACTCCTGTAACTGTCATTTTACGAGGAGGAAGGGATATAGGCAGGAAGAGTGCTTTTTTCGGACTTCCTGCTATATAGACAGCTCCAAAAGCTGAAATAAACTATTTTGACTTAAGCTACACTATTGATGTAGCTCAAGTTGCATAGCTTATTTTGGCTTTAGCCCTGCAGTGTAGGCGTATGTCTAGACTACAGGCTTTTGTCGACATAGGCTTAGTCAACAGATCCTGTCAACAAAGCTTCTGTCGACAAAGAGGGTCTAAACTACAGCCAGTTCTGTTGACAAAGAAAGCTGCTTTTTCAACAGAAAAAGCACAGTGTGGATGCAATAGCACCTTTTGTTGACAGAACTCTGTTAACAAAAGGCCTTATTCCTCGTAGAATGAGGTTTACCACCGTCGACAAAACTGCAGCATTTTGTCGACTTACTGTCGACAGAACGCGGCGGTAGTGTAGGTACCTTTTTGTCCACAAAAGTCCACTTTTGTCAACAAAACCCTGTAGTCTAGACACACCCTAAAAGTGTAGTCGATCATAGCATCTCTCTATTTCGGAATACCTTATTTTGAAATAGTTAATTCAAAATAAGTCATTTCGAAATAATGCGTCTACACATAAAATGCAGTTCAAAATAGCGTTTTGCTATTTCAAAATAGCACGTCTACACTAAGTGGATGATGAATCGCATTTAAGGCTGGCCAGAATCAGGTTGGGCAGGGCATCAGGTCAGGAGTTACTTTTTGTGGCTGAGGCCTGTGCTTAAAGGACCCCCCCCCCCCGGACAGCCAGTTCTCAGATTTCCCTGCTTGCTTGCCTACCTCGATGAGGGACAGCAAAGAATGTTGTCTCTGCATGCTCTGGTTGCCCTCACTCAGGACACCACAGCATTCTGCAACATGGAGCCAGAGCTGCCCCTGGGCACTCGGGTGCTTCTCATGGATGTGTTGCTGCAAACCTGGCTGCACTTTCTGCAGGCTGCCATCCAGGAGGTCAATAGAGGGACTGTCAGTATCCAGAAAGCCCTGAGGGAGAGCTTCTGCCCTGTGGAGCACTAAGAGCCTCCCTGGTTTGCCCCACTGGGGGCTTGTGCCTCATTCCTCCCTCACATCCTTCCACTTACCCCTCCCTAACCCCCCTTCCTGATGTCAAATAAAATGCATGTATTTTCATGAACACAAACTCTCTTTATTTAACAAAGGGAATGAAACTTTGGTGAGACTGGGGAAAGGAGGCAGGAGAGGGGAGAAGAGAGGGTGGGAGAGGGTGAGGGAGCTGGAAGGGAAGCAAGGGGAAGAGGGAGAGGGGAAGCTCAGGGTTGGGGGTCTCACCGGACCAACTTGATTTTCATGCAAACCTGCTCCTGGGATCGCATGTGGCCTTTGGTGGCCAGGCTGGCAGCTATCTTGCCATAGACAGATGCTTTCCTCCATCTAGTGTGGAGATCATGGACATTGGGGGCATCCCCTCCCAAACCTGAATAAGGTCCAAGATCTCCACCCTGGATCAGGAGGGCGCCTGCCTTCTCTGGCCCCTGCCTGGCTCCTGGGAGCTGGCTGACTGCTCCTTGGGAGTGGTGGAGGGCTGGCTGCCAGTGGCTTGCTGGCTCATGTTTGGGGGCCACTGGGTCAGGGGCAGTGTCTGCTGGCTCTGGGCTGGCAGGTTTGGAGCTGGCACAGGTACTGTGGCCAGAATCAACCCCTTTAAGAGCTCCGGGGAGTGGGGAGGGAGAGGAGTGTTCTTGGTTGAGGCTGGAGTGGCCACCAGGGTACTCTGGGAAGGCTGGAGGCCCCCTTTTTCGATGTAAGTATCTGCACAGCACTTATTTTGAAATAGGTATTTCAAATTTGGCTTTATTTCTTGTGGATTGAGGTTTACCAAATTCAAAATAAGCACTCCGCTATTTCAAATTAATTTTGAAATAGAAGTTTGGCTGTGTAGATGCTAGTAAAGTTATTTTGAAATAACGGCTGTTATTTTGTAATAACTTTGCTGTGTAGACATACCCAGAGAGAGCACATGTTTGCATGTTCTGTCTTCTGTAGTCCCCTGGAAGGTACAGTGAACAAACAATATAACACCAGGTTGTGTCAGCATTATTGCAGAAGCACCTGTGCATTTGAGGAACCCTGACCCACTGACAGAAGGATGCGGTGGCATCTTTTCCAAATATTTCCCTTCTGCTGCTATTAGGATCTGAGAAAGCTGTTGAAATATTTCTTAGTCATTTGTGTAATTTCCCTAATGAATCCAATTCTGCAAACCTAAATCAGATGTTCTCATGAAAGCCAATGGTAGTTGTGCCTGAGTCAAGTTTGTAGGGTTGTGAGAGACCAAGGTAAATATTGCAGGAGTCTTGCCATTGATTTTAATTGGAGCAGTATCAGTCACTGGGGGTACGTCTAGACTACCGGGTTTTGTCGACAGAAGTTTTGTCGACAGTATCTGTCGACAAAACTTCTGTCGACAAAGAGCATCCAGAAACATTGAGTTCTGTCGACAAAGCAAGCTGCTTTGTCGACAGAACCCTGTAGTCTAGACACAACCCTACAGGCAATAACACTTTCTGTCGACAGAACTCTGTCAACAGAAGGTGTTATGCCTCATAAAATGAGGTATACCAGGGTCGACAAAACTGCTGAGTTCTGTCGACGTTATGTAGACAGAACTCAGCGGTAGTGTAGACACTGGTATAGTTTTGTCAACA